GGAGGGGTGAGAGGGCATCTCTGACTTCAAATTGCAGGATGCAAAATTTCCATGCAATTTTGATTTATTTTAAAAAGTCCCCAACTTGAGAAATTGGCCTAAAATTCTAGGTAAGCAAAAGTTTAAGGAAGATGAGTCAAAAAAAAAAAAAAGATTGGGTAGTTTTGCATCATCTAGGTGTGGTGGGGAGGAGATCAAAGCTCAGGGAACTTTAATACCATGTGCTGCCTCCAAAATGCCTTGTGGTACTAAGACACGTTTGATATAAGTCACTCTCTGCTCTCACACCTGATCCAGCAGACATCGTGCATCAGCTTATTCTGAGGTCCTAATTCCTGATTTCTGATCATATCCTCCCTCATCTCCAGTTTTGTCTTCACTGGTAACCTCCATTGCTAGTTCTTGATTGGACCAGGCTTCTGAAATTGGTCCAACTCTGTCAGGTTCTTGTTTGGATGCTCCAACAGCACTCTTCTTCCTCCTTCTGTCATAAGTCTGCATGTGCACAGCAGAGCCCACACGTCCATTCTCTCTTCAACAATAATTCCTTGACTGAAGTGCCAAGTATCACCCACTGCAGGTACTCATGATATGTCAGTAAATATAGCAGGAAGAAAAAACCCTGCACCGATAGAGCTTCCAATAGAAGCTTCATCTCAGGGTGTTCCCACATTTTGAAAGGGTCATTTTTATATTTCACAGCATTGTGTCTTAAGTGATACTTTTATTAGGGAGGTATGCTACAAAATGGCTCCTACCATGGAGACTATGATTAAAATTGGCTCTTTCTTGGATCTCATTCTGCTCTAATTTGTGAAAACACATATAGTTGTCCTCTGTACCCATGCATTCCACCACATCTTTGGATTCAACCTATTGCTGATGGAAAATATTGAAAAAATAAACCTCTTGTGCTGAAGATGTAAAGACTTTTTTCTTGTTATGATTTCCTATGCAATACGGTAAAACCGTTTTCATGCATTTACATTGCATTAAGTACTGTAAGTAATCTAGAGATGATTAAAGTATATGAGCAGTTGTGGGTAGGTCATATACACATCCTCTGCCACTTTACATAGGGGACTTGAGAATCAGTAGATTTTGGTATCTGCTGGGGAGAGGAGGCAGGGTATGGAAGAAATCCCCAGCAAATACAAAGAGATCATTATATTTAAATTCATTATCTCCATTAAGAAATAATTATCTTAGGTCAGGTTCCCTAGAACAGTGTGTGAAACAGAAATCTTAGTGAATGTGGTTTCCTGAAGAAGCCCTCCTTAGGGAAAATCCTACAAGGGAGCATTATAGAGGATAGATGTTAACAAGGACAAGGTCTCAGGCGGAGTCTAGCCTTGATGCAGTCACAGGGCATCTCTAGATGTAAATTTTACCATAAATATTTTCCTCCTCCTAGGCCAGGGGGCTATGGAAGCAGAGGACAATTGCCAGAGTTGGAGCAGTGGCCAGCAGTCAGTATAGAAGCTAGGGATGGATGTGGCAGCCAGGCAAAGATGACCTGGTTGTGACACCAGCAGGGCTTTTCATAGAGCTTCAGGTAAATCTGTAATTTGAAATTCCATGAGGACCACTGTGTCACCAGTATGTGAAAATATTGCTGGCTTGAAAGACATTTCTATAATTTAATGAGTTTAAAAACAATTTTTGGTCACCTAATGAATTCCAGACATTATGTAGAAGACTATGGTGTAGTTGTTGCTGTCATTAGCCATAATAAGTTCTAGAAGGCGAAGTGGACAGGTCTGCAGGGGTGTTGAGATTGGGAGAGATGATGTCTAGCAGAATCATTTATAGTAGTTCATGGGAGTAAATCTCAATTCTGTTGGGGGCTGGGAAGAGGTGTGGTATCCCAGCCAATCCAAGGCAGAGTCTTCATAAGGTCTTCCCTATGATTGCACAAATTGGTGTCTCACACAACAGAAATTTCTTCTCACTGCTCTAGAGCCCAGACTTTGAAATCAAAGTGTTTGCCAGGACATGTCCCCACAGGCATCCCAGCATTTGGTGGCTCCAGGCTGTCCTAGGCTTGGGTTTGCATCAGTATAGTCAACACCCTCAAATTCCCCTGTCTTGTGTGTGTATCCTCTTTCTGCCTCTTATAAGGTCACTCGTAATTGGATGGAGTGGCAACCCTAATAATCTAGGGTGATCTCACCTCAAAATCTTATTTTTATTTTCATCTTCAAAGAAGGATGTAGTCATACCTGTTTTGGGTCACCATTATTCCCAATACTTCAAGAGCAGTTAAATTGCTTCCTGTTACAAATGGAAGGGAGCACTGGATTTTAATCTTCTATAATTTATTGTTGTATCACAGGGAGAAGGTCTTCCTAGGCATGCGCCCCAAATACTGCAGTTGTCATGTATATTTTAAGGTACAAATTGGGGGGGGTAAAGCTTTTAAACTTCCTAAGTCCAAAGCTTCTAGTTACTCCCCCTTTTTTTTGAAAAGAAAATGGGGTTCCTCATCCTAAATTCATCCTTCCAATGGAGAAGTCTTACAGTAACTACAAACCAATTTCCCTTTTCAGAAATGCTATCTACATTGAGGCCAAGTACTCAAGATGGTTTCTCTCTCTCTCTTTCTCTCTCTCTCTCTTTCTTTTTTTTAAAATAGTGTCTTGTTATGTAGTCTGGTCTGGTCTCAAATGCATGATCCTCCTGCCTCAGCTCCTGAGTGCTGGGATTACAGGTGTGTAACACCATGCCTTGCTTCAAGACAGTTTTCATTCCAAAACTGTTTATTCATAGTTCAGTATCTAGTGAGATAACCTTCTTGACAGTGAGGTTTGGAAGTAGAGGCGTGAGGTGAGCTGTTTAGGATGTGTAGAATTTATAGTGCTTGATAAACAGTGAGTTAGATTAGTGAGGAACAGAGAAGGACTACATCATAGGTGAACAGGGTAAAATTGAGTGAATATGTGGACTCTGAAGAAACAGTAGCTTATCCAAGTAAAAAAGAAAACTCATTAAGCTGGCGACTGAGTGCTTCTGCCTTTTAAAAAAGTTTCAGGGCATTACATTTTTTTTTTAGAAAGAGTCTCAACTTCCTTTAAAGTTTTAACTCAAGCACTCTGCATGAAATGCTTTCTATACATGATTCTAGGCAGGAACTATTCTTAACGCCATAATATGTTTTAAACATAAACAATATTATTCCATGCTTTCTGCATGTTTCCTGCTTCTTAAGCTTTTACTTGTTTTAAAAGGATGTTGATATTTCAGAATCTCCCTTCTGGTTTTCATTTTCCTTTTTCTATAGTTTTAAAGACTTTTTCCACAAAAGCAAGCATCTCATTTGTAATCCATATCTTTCTTCTGCTCCTTCTATGTTACTTCAAATCACAACGGAGGAATAAGGCTTTATTGTTGGTCTTTTTCCTAGGCTGAGAAAGACTTTGGAAACAGTGACTTGATTATATCTATGTGAACTTGATTTACAACTTTGTTTCCACTCATTGTTGCCTTTCAAATGACTTCACTTTTCACACCACTTTAGCAGATGAAGAACTTAGTAGAGCAGTACAGGTATTACAGCAATTACTAATCAATCTGGACAAGTACTTAATATGGTATTCAAATTTTCAACATATCTTTTTAAAGAAATCATGTTTACATAATTTATGTACTATTTTGGTTCAAATACTTAACTTGAGATTATTATCTGGTCATGTTGCTTTGAATATGATTTCATTTTAACCATTCCAGTAAAAAAGTTAAATTTTAATGGAAGTAAATTTTGACTTTAATGGAGTCCTAGTTTGAATGTGGAGGAGAACACCACAAATTGTATCTTCTTAATCTTACTTTGAACCATTGTAGATGGTTGCGGAACTGAAAAGACTTCATTCAGAGCTTTGATGAGAGTCTGTTCAGCAAAGGGCCCAGCGTAGGAAAATGCATCCAATGCATTATTATAATTACATATTAGAGGAAATATTCTGCTTCTTGAATGAAGCATTTAAAATGAAAATGAGTAAATCAAGTGTGCAAATCAAAGGTGGGTCTCTCACAAGTCCCTGAGTCTCTCCTTGACTGTGAAATGCTTGAGACATTTTCATGGGAAGAGTGCTTTCCATATGAATAACATTTCTTGAAGCAGGAAACCATAATACTCCAAATGGTGCTGAGTTGCTGTTGTTCTTTTAACTAGCATTCTTAACTAGCAACTGAAGCAAGTCAACTAGCAATAGACGTAAAAAGTCTCACGTTCTTGAGAACAAAAGAAAAATGCTCTTTATTCCTAGGTTATTGACACTTGTAATTGTTCAAATTTTGTGCTACGAAACTGAATCTAGAAGGTAGGCAATAAAAAGAAAAGTAGAAAAAACAGCTTGCGTGTCATATGATCTTCCACAGGACTACAAATAGGTAATAATGGGAGAAATTCTGAGAATCTCTTAAATAATTCTTATTTCTCCATTAGTAATACTCTAAATTTCTGCTTGGGAAAAGCTTAGTGCTCTAGAGATTTTGCAACAGAAAGAGTATATATTTGGCCTGGAGGTGTGACTCAAGAGGTAGAGAGCTTGCCTAGCAAACAAGTTCTGAGTTCAAATCCCAGTACTGCCAACAGAAAGAGCAAGAGAGAGAGAAAGAAAGAGTATATGTTGGTCATCAGATCCCATTGTTTATAATTAACTTTTTGCAGAAAGTACTTTAGTAAAACACATGCTTTTAAATCATTGACAGATTTTATATTGAAATCTTCAGTGCATTAAACATAACCACAAATAGCACAAGAAACTATCATTTGGATTATAATTCTAATTGGGTTTAGCTAACTGTTCAACAGTAACAATTGTCCAAAGGAAAATTATGACAGTTAAACTATACTCACAAATAAAAATAACTGACAAAGACTCAAAGTTGGCTGAAGTTTACATCACTTACAAGATAAAAGAATCCTCTATTTCTTCTAATACTGCTCCACAGGGAAGATGCAATTACAAAACATCCCAAGCTGACTTAATTACTCTTACCAGTACAGACGATGGGCCACCTGGATGCTTTGCAAGGAGCGGTGCAGCAGGAGTTTTACCAAAGGACTTTCAAGGCTCCACTCAAACTTGACAGCCTGCAGTAAAAGACATATTACTCTACTTTTCTTTTTCTCAGTAAAAAAAAATAGCAGAATATGGAGGATCCAAAGTGGCTTAAGAAAACACATGGAAAACGCATGTATGTTTCAATAAAATGGTATAGATTTGATAGTTTATTTGTTAATATATAACTAATACACAGAGTACATATTTGTTTCCTTTCCTTATTTAGGGGTTAAGCAAATGGTTGGTAGAGTTCAACCAAGCCCTGGGGAAGAATCCCTGCACAAAAAATAATATGAACAATGGCCCTGGCATACAAAAATGGAATTATTAAGCAACAGATACTTCTACACATCTGGAGATGAAATTAACGCACCTTCAAAGCCTTGGCAGAAATCACCTACAAGGTTTATCAGTATTAACTTGCAGATTTTGAAACTTTGCTTGAAATTTCAAAGCTGATTGTTACCACTATAGCTAATCCTCAAATATTTTCCTTTATCTCCACTTTGAACAACTCTGGAAGGTTTATACTTTCCCCCCCTTTATTGTTGTGCTGGGAGGGAGTATACTGTAGCATTTACAAAGGTTCTTGCAATGTATCAAATATATCATACATGGATTCACCCCGTTCACTGCTCTAGATTCCTGGAAGCTTCAACAGGCATCATTTTTCCATTGACATACATGTGTACACATTTTTCACAGCTTATTCACCCTCTTACCCCCTTTCCCTGCCACTTCCCCACTGGTGCCGGCACTCTCCCTTCCTCCCTACCCCACAGGACCTGTTCCACTCTCCTGTTCTCTGATTTTGTAGAAACAAAAGGAAAAAAGAAAAATCTGATACTTTTGCTTGTTTGAGATACAGGTAGCTACACAGGGAGATTCCTTGTGATATTTCATGTATTTATGTGTCATAACCCAACTTGTTTGTCTCCTCTAATTTTCTTCATTCTACCTTCGTCTCTTTATTATGGTGGTTTCAGTTGGTTTAAAATTTCTACTTCCATTTTTTGTATAGACAGTATATCAACCATATTTAACTTCTTAGTTTCCTTCTCTTACCCTATCCCTCCTGTATGTGACCTTCCCTTAATGTGCCCAGTGTTTCACAATATTGCTGCATCTGTGTTAGGTCTATATTGCACATAGAGAGAACATGTGACTTTTGGTCCTGATCCTGGCTGTCTTCACTTAATATGATGTTCTCCAGTTCCATCCACTTACCTGTGAGTGACAAAATTTTATTATTCTTTGTGGCTAAATAAAATTCCATTCTGTATAAATGCCACATTTTTTAAATCTATTTGTCCGTAGTGGGGCATCATAGCCATTTCCATAGCTTGGCTATTGTGAATAGTGCTGCAATAAACATGGGTATACAGGTGCCTTTGTTGTAAGCTGACTCACATTCCTTTAGGTATATCCCTAGGCATGTGATTGTTGGATCATAAGGCAGATCTATTTTTAGTTTCTTGAGAAGTCTCCACACTGTTTTCCAAAGTGGTTGTACTAGCTTACATTTCCACCAGCAGTGTATGAGTGTTCCTTTCTTCCTGCATCCTCACCATCATTTGTTGCCATTTATTGTCATTTGTGTTCTTTATGGTATTTATTCTAATAGAAGTGAGGTAGATTCTTAATATGGCATTTCTTTTATGGCAAAGGATGGTGAACATTTTTTCATTTTTTAAAGCCATTTAGACTTCTCAAAGGTTTATACTTGACCTGGTAACAGCCAGAAATAGAAATGGCATCCTCTGATGTCATTAGGGACCTAATTCAGATTCACACTTGCCCTCTGCAGTGACTTCACTGTCACTAGTCTGTAGCCAGGTTATCATCATCCCAGGAATCTGAATATGTGAAAGTGTAAGCCAAGATCTCCTTATGAAAATGCATATCACTACTTGAGAGGAAAGCTTCTGTCTTTAGTAATTCAACATGCCCACATACAAACAGAGACTGTCAGGTTTTATACCATGGTACTCATAGCAGATAAAAGTAGGTAGATAGTCATTCACACATACACCTGAAGAAACACCTCAATATACTAAGCACCCTCAAAGATGGGACCACTTATAAATTCCTGAGGTGTAAAAGTGCTGAAGATGGTTTCAGTAAATTTGCATATCTTATTGCTGCCTGCTTGTAGAAAGACCACACAAGATATATATTTTCTGAAACTGCAACCACAGGCTTCCTTCACTTACTTGCTAATGCTGGGATGGTTTTGTTAATACCCTAATTTTAAGCACATAATATGGGCATGTAAGCAGGATATATGACTCACACTGGCTTTTTTTTTTTTTACTTGTTCCAATTATTTCTTCTCGAACCCAATAACTACTCATTGCTCTTGAATTGTCTGCCCTGCTTACAAACTCCTGGCTTTGCTTTATCTACTGACACAATTTCCCCCTAAATCCTTCCTTACCATTTATTATGGAAGTGATTTCTCAGGGACACGATACATTATCACAAACTGTTTTTGGAGCCGCCTGCATAGTTACAACTGGTGGTTTACAGTAACCTCTGACTCTTCATTTTATTTGACTCCTAGGTTGAACCATACTATTGTTTTCATTGTGATCCTAAGAGTCCTTTCTTATTGCTTTTACACAGCATGCATCATGCAAACCTGATAAGCCATACCCAAATAACATGATTCCAGAAAATAATCAACAGGAGAAGGATTTTTATGTGTTGGAGAGTTATAAGGTTAAAGTGAAGTATGAAAGTCTTCTTCAGGTGAATGTTACATGTTGTGAAATTCCTTCTAGTTTATATTTATTCTCTAGTCACAATATATATTTCTTCCTATCTCAGAACATGTTATAATTAAGACATAGTTTTTTCCTTTCTGTGTATTTGCTATGTGGGATTCAGAGTGTACCTTTTCTTATGGATTTAGATTTATAGGAATATGGCTCTCTTAATGCCAAATGCATTGATTCTGATTGGGGTTTTCAAATGAGTTTATTCTACATGTACTTTTATCAAAACCAACTCTTTCAGGTCAGGTTAAATATAGCATATTTCTCATACCCGTGATCCAGGAAATGAATAGTGATTCTAAAGTTGCTACTGTTCTGGCATGTTGTGGTAATTCACTACTATAAAGGATTGGCAGAAGTAACTTATGCTACAGTCATTTCTAAATCAGATCTTTCTCTTTAGGGAGGTTTCATAGAAGTTCATGGTGCATGTGCACCTGGACTTTATTCATAGATAGCTTCCCATCATTTTTAGAGTCCCTGTCAATGGTTAAAAGTGGAGATAACTGGTATTTAAAATAGCATCTAGTTTTTCAGATAAGGAAACATTTGGGTTTTAAAACAATAAAACAAAGAATAATAATTTAGATGTCTTCAGTACGCAGCTCATAGCCATCTTAGTGCAAAAATTATCTTTCATAATTTTTCAGACTTATGAGCTCATTTTCCAAGCTGTTCATCTTTCATCATGTTCAAACTGTGTCAGTCTTTGCTCATATTTCTGGTTAACTTGATATTACTTTCTAATATGACTCCAACACTGTGATGTTTGATGTCACTAGAATGCACAGTTGACAGAAGAATTTGAGTGTTAGAAACTGCTTTGATAAGATGTATAATCAGCATTAGAATTCTTTGTAGGAGAGGCAAGAAGCTAACAAATTATTATGATCAGCTGTGTAGCAAATGACTATTTTCTATATAACACTTATTTGGTTAATGTTTTATTGTTTTCACATACAGTCGTGAAAAGATTTATCACTAATCTTTCTATTTTTCCCTGTTTTAATTAATAATTGAATTAAAATATTTTGTTTTTATGTTTTTTTGTTAGTATACCAATTTTGGCTAGAAAATGTCTGTACTACTTTCATTGACATATGAGCTATAATTCAGTTCTTTGGCTGGCCAAATTGCAGTATAATTTCTAAGCAATGTATTGTTGATTAATCAGGAACTTTTTAGAGAATCAATCAGTAGTGAAAATCCTGGAATCCCTTGGTAATTCTGAGGTTCTTACCTGAACAAGCTGTGGGAGATATTCCAGTAGCTCATCGCTCAAGAGGTTGTCTAATTGTTCAACTGCGACTTTACGGATTTCTTGATCTGGAAAACTGATACACAGAAATTTGTCTGAAAGTTGTCAATCACCAGTAATGATGCAGGATACATGTCACCTATGACAGAAGATGGAATGAATTCCACCCCTAGTAATAATGTAAAACAACAATCCATAAGCAATTAAACTGATCATTATCACTAAGTAATTAGAAAAGTAAAATTACATGTATTCTAATAGAACATCCTTTTGACATGTAGGTTTAAATCAGAGCTCTGCATCCATAAAATGTGGATCATGGAATATCTAAAATCTGTTCTAAGACTATGAAAATATTTGCTACTTATTTATCCATGCATTTATTAAATAAATTATTCCAGCTGGATATAAGATACTTTTTATGATTCAAAATGGGATTTGATGTTTGAAAATTGTTTGGGGCTGGATGTTAACAAAAAACAGAAATCTTAAGAATTTTGTGATAAATAAAAAACATAATTTAATAAGGATAAATATTACTAAAGTTCTTGAAGTCAAACTGCATGTACCTATGTAAGATTTATATCCATGATGCCCTTAATTCAAATTTGCTATTGAACTAAATTTATGGAGGTATTTAGCATTTGAAACCATATTCCAAAAACCATCTTATTCTCAAATGGTCTGCTAGATTGCCATCATCTTGCTACATCAGAAGACTGGATTTAATTATTTCAAAGTTCCTGGGGGTTCCTGGCGATAACTGGCACCATACTGCTCTAAAATGCTTGACATGATTAGATATAGCTAGGGCTTTGGTAAGAGCAATTAGTTTTAAATGAACAAGTTTTCAGGAAAAAAAATCAACGGGTATATTTAAAATTGAGGAAACTGCTTATAGTAACATACTTAAAACCAGAGAAACAGGTAAACAAATAAACAAAAGCCCAAATTCTTTTCATAGGGAATGAATTGAATGTTTTCCAAGCAGTCAGGTGAGAGCCTTGAAGATTGCCTCCTGGAAGTGTGGAAGTCAGAAAACTTTAAAGCCTAATGTGCAGTCTTTTTTAAAATTTTTTTTTATTTTTGGAGGATATTAGGTTACTGAAGGGTGAAATGAATCCTATGCAGTTAGAGTCAAGTGCAAACTGGTATTACTTCCTGTCCCTCAGCTGTCCTTGAGAACAGTTTGAAACGTAGTGCTAAGCAGGTTATACATTTTTTTCTTCATTTAAACTGAATATTTTAATTGCAACAAGAATTTTGCTTTTAAGGTTAGTCACTCAAAACTGTTATTTCTGACCTACAAATTTTGTTCCAATGCTAGTTTTCTCATTCTAGCAATGAGATCTAGTGAGAACTGTAGTGCAGACACATCTTGTGAAGTATTGCCAAGGTCAGAAGACCTCAGCATAACAGCACCCACAGACGGAGAGCAGAAGGGTATAATAAATGCAAAGCTAGAAGGTCAGCTTATTTTGGCACATTAAGACTTTAGATTCTCCTAACTAAATGCAATTGACTCTAATTTATTGCTCTCCATTATTAAACCATTTGTCTGATGCTTATAGACACCAAGGTCAGTGTAAGGACAGCTTGGAGCCTTAGAGGCAGCAGTGACTTGGTACACTCTGACATCCAACTGGTGACTTGTTAAGTTGAATTCCAGTCATTCATGCTCCCTCATCTGTCTGTTTCACCTTATTGACATGGATGACAAAAAAAGACAGAAAAATAGCAAACAAACAAACATCATGACAAAACAAAACTTTGGTGAACACTACACTTCTAATTATGTATTTATTTCCATATGCCAGAATGTAAACTTCAAGAAAGCAGAAAATTTTGTCTAACTTTTCATGGATGTGAACTCAATGTTTGGAGAATTATGGCCACTTTCTACATATTTGTTTGAAGTCTGTCTAAACTGAACTCATTACCTTTCTGCATACGATATCTCTACTATCAAATTTCCTTCTTTCTTTTTCCATTCAGAAAATCCTAAAATATTAAATGGAATATTATTGCTCCTCTTTTGGACTCTTTATTATATTTTCCTCCAATCTGGCAAAATTCATTTAATCTCTGAAGTTCAGGCTCAAGCATCAATTTACCTGTGATGCTGTTCTGGCCACATTTTAGCACAGTTGAGGGTAGGTTAAAGGCAGACCCATTCATTTATGGGTCACCTAGTTCAAGTACAGTTGATTGAAAGTTTGTGGAATTCCCAGTAGTCTCTTTGTCTTAATATTTAATCAATTGGTATTTGGTTAACTTTTCTATATTAATAGCTCTAGGACTTATGCTTGCTTTTAATTTCTTCTACAACTTTTTGGACTAGGCCATAGTTATCTCTTACTGGCACTTATATTTTTTCATAGTGGTATCTTACAAATTTTCCTAAATTTATTTGTTTCTCATAAAATATTAAATTATATTCTATTTCCAATGGACCTCTCTTATATCCATATGTTAATCTAGATTTATAAGGCTAGTTAAACAGCCCAGATTTTTCTCCTATCATAATATTGAGTGAAACGTCTGACTCATTTTTACTTTGAAAATAGCACATATATTTTCACTTTTGTGAACATGGTACTCTCTGCTTGGAATGTTGTCCTTTCTCTTCTTAAAGTTTTGGTCCCTCTTCAATATGTGACTTGAATTCCCTTGAGTGTGACTGTTGTTAGTAGTTACTTCTTTGACATCTAAGGGCATTGCTTGGGTGATTCTTGCTGGGCTCGTGGTATACGCTAGTTAAGTATTAGGAATTATTATAATTTTTGAAATATATGTCCTCATTTCTCAATGAGTGAACAGACCAGCTGAAGATAAGATATACCGCATCTTCTTTTCTTATTCCTAAGACTTAGTGGCATGCCCTTTGTATTGGGGGCAATGAATCAAAATGAATCAATCGTGATGGCAGTAATGATGAAACTCATACTTGGAGTCAATTTTTTTCTTGCTGTGCTGAGATAGTTTGTATTGGTTTAAATGAGTTTAATTACACGAAAACCACTCATATAATTTGAAGATTTTTTTTGTAAGAGAAAACCAAATCTGAAGGTAGTGGAATAGATCAGGATTTTTCCCAATGTCCTTCAGGCACAAGAGAACAAAAAAAACCCAAAAACAAACAAACAAAAAATGAGGAGTGCTGTATAGAATATTCCAAAAGGAAAGTTATGTAATTCTATTCATAGATGTAAATGCCAGGAAGGACAGTTTTGCATTGTGATGGAAAGGGCTGTCTCATTTATTCATTACTGTCACTTGAAGTTCAGAAAGAAACTAGAACAGGAAATAAGACTAGCTATGTGACATCCTGAGGTCATTAAGTCCTCACTCAACAATCAAGCACATCCAAACATCACTTGCATTTGACTATTTTAGGAAGAGTTGGTGAAGTTTAAAGAGATTCTTGCAGTGCTGGTGACATTGCTAGGACATAGGCTTCTCATGCATTGCTGGCAGTATATGGTGACATGTACTCAAATACAGAAAAAAACTTTACAAATGTGTTTATTGATCAGTCAGCAATTTTACTTTGGAATTTATTCTAAGGATATAATCAGAAATGTATGTGAAGCTGTGTGTACGCAGAAAATACTGGAAATAATATAAATGCCTAAAATAAATATTTAAGTATGCTATTATGAACACATGGTAGATTGTATTCAGCCACTAAAGATAGTAATAGAGTATTTAATGACAAGAAAATACTTTGAAATATTCATGTAGTGTTACACTATTTTCAGCATATATTAGCTGTAGTAGTAGGTTTCATTATGACTGCATATATTGTACTTTGATTATATTCACCCTTCTGTTACATCCACCCTTCTGTTATATCCACCCTTCTGTTGGGATTGGTGTTTGAACTCAGGGCTTTGCACTTTCAAAGCAGGTTCTCTACCACTTGAGCCATATTTCCAGTTCATTTTGCTCTGGTTATTTTGGAGAAAGGGTTTTGACTATTGGGCTGGCTTCAAACCGTGATCCTTCTGATCTCAGCTAGGATTACTGGAGGAATATTACACTTAAGAAAAAGATTGGAGGAATCAAAACATTAATGACAATTATCTGAATGAAAGAAAGTTACATCTGAATGATTTAGTATTCTTTTTTAAGCTTAGATCTTATAGTTTTTCAGTTCTACTGAAAACTTAAAAACTTTCATTTTTGGCGGTAATGGGGTTTCAACTCAGGGCTCCACACTTGCTAGACAAGCACGCTGTCACTTGAGCTATGCTGCCAGCCCTTTTTTCTTTAGTTATTTTGGAATAGAGTCTCACATCTTTGCCTGACTTTCCTGGACCATAATCGACTTATGCTTCTGGTGGAGCTGGAATGACAGACTCATGCCACCATGCACAACTTTATTGGTTGTGATGGAGTATCACTAGCCTTTTCCCTGACCTGGCCTTGACTATCATCCTCCTGATCTCATCTCCTAAGTAGTTGGGATTACAGGTGTGAACCACTACACTTGGCCTCATACTTTTTTAAAAGTAAGGTTCATCCAACTAATGAATAAAAGTATGTGAATAATTGCAAATTCATTACCAGCACTAGGAAAAAGTTTAAAATCATCTGTCTTTTTAAGAGTGGACATTATTGTGTGAAAGAAGGAGCATCCTACTCTTTAGTTGACTAAAATATTCATCTAACATGATACTCTTGCAAATTTATGCCCAACTTCCCTTTTCTGGTCCCCTGAAGTCAGGTATAGATCAATGGACAAATATGTCCCATAAATCCTGGTATTTCTTCTCTGTGATGTTGTCTGAAATTATTTAAGCATTCTTTTGGGATACAGTTGTTGGCATTTCATGCTCAGTAGCTCATTCTTCAATGAGGTTAAGGTTACCGATATTAGTTCTCTGACTTTGGTGTGATATTTACAGACTGAAATGTCATATGTAACAGAAGACCTGCAACCTGTTTTAAATTTTCCACAAGCCGTTATTGTGTTTCCTAGTGATTTGATTTGCTTGAAAAATACATATATAATTCCTGCCATTCTCACTGTGAGACTGCTAATTATTGCAGGACTGGGCATTATACTTTGAG